TGAGAACAATATGTTAGAGGTCCCGCCTGGTGCTCCCTGATCCCACCAAAGAGTTCCACCTGTTTGAGACGAGAAGAAGGGAATAGCCAAGGGAGTGCTCACGCAGGCACTAGACCTTGGAGGCACCCAGTGGTGTCTGTCAAAAAAAAACTAGACCCGGTAGTGGCGGATGGCCGGCTTGCATGGAATCATGCGCTACTGCCTTACTGGCAAAGACGCTGATAAGCTCACCCTGGGTCAGCATTTGCAAGATTACCACCCCTCATGCCATAAGGGGATCCTGAAGCAGCGCCAGGAGATGGATTACAAATGCGAGGCTGACTCACTACCAGGGGCTTCTGTTGGACATTCCTCCCATTGAGTTCCGGATCCTGCCATCCTGAACCCCGCCACGCTTCCTGCTGGATCCGAGCCAGAAACTCTGAAATAGTTGCCTGAGATCCCTGGCCGAGACCACATGGCCAGGAAAGACCTAAAAGACCGCCCTCTTCCAAACACGACACTGACCTGGTTCACCGATGGGAGCAGCTTTGTTCGGGACAGACACAGGTATGCGGGGACAGCTATAGTGAGTGAGCGAGGTAATCTTATCTGGGCATCGCCTCCCACAGGGGACATCCCCAGAAGCGGAACTGTGGCATTGACAGAAGCCCTCCGCCGGCCCCAAGGAAAGAGGCTGACTGTATACACCGACAGTCATTATGTGTTCAGGGGGTCCACATACATGGGGGCCCTCTATATAGAGAGAGGTTTCATCATAGCGGAGGGCAGAGAAATCAAACGTAAGCCTGAAATATTTCAACTGCTAGAAGCCATTTTGTTGCCAAAAGCAGTGGCAGTAGTCCACATTCCGGGACACCAGAAGGGGGATTCTCTTGAAGGCCGGGGCAACCGGCTGCAGACGCTGAGGCAAAAAGGGCTGCAAGAGAACCAGCACTAACGGATGTTCTATATTTGAGCTTTCCACCTCCTGGGATGGAAAGATGCCCCCTCCAACGGATTATTACAGCACGGACATAAACTGGGCCAAAGAAAAACTGAGGCATCACAGAGTAAGGAGGTTGGCTCCAAGATGGAGAGCAGGCCTAGTAGTTCCTGAAGCTTGAGGAACCTCCTATAGGACACTTGCACCAGACGAAACATCTGGGAAAAAGGAAGATGCTACAGTTGCTGGACACTGCACAAATCAGATCAAATCACAAAGAAAGATAGCAGAAGACATTGTCCGGAACTGCCGTGTCTGCCAGGTCAGCGTAGCCGGGGAGGATCAGAGGAACCATGCAGGTACCAGGGAGCGGGGAAGGCAACCAGGATTATTTTGGGAAGTAGACTCACAGAGGTAAGACCGGAAAATATGGGTACAGGTATTTGTTGATCATGGTAGACACCTTCTCAGGGTGGGTGGAAGCTTTCTACTAAAGAGAGACTGCCTAATAGTAGCAAAAAATACTGGAAGAAATAATTCCTAAGTACGGGCTGCCGAGAGACACAGGATCTGACAATGGGCCAGCCTTCACAAGTCAGGTCAGTTAAGGGCTAGCCCGAGCATGAAGTAGATTGGAAGTTACATTGTGCATATAATCCCCAAGAGCTCAGGGCAGATAGAAAGAATGAACAGAACCTAAAGGAAACCTTAACTAAATTGGTCCTAGGGACTGGCGGGGACTGGGTGACCCTCCGTCCCTTTGCCCTGTTCCGAGCCCAGAGCACCCCTTACCATTTGGGCCTAACCCCCTTTGAGATTGTGTATGGTACCCCTACGCCTGTAATCCCTAGGGTGAGCCCTGAGGCTCTCCTGGAACACCCTAGGGAGGTACTGAAGGCTATACAAGCTCAGCAACGTGTTCACAGCCAAGGATGGCCGGCCCTCCAGGCCATCTACCAGACAACTGGGCCAAGAACCAAGAGTAATAAAAACTTGTATCTTCATCATCAGCCAGGGGATTGGGTGTGGGTAAAATGGCATAACAGTAAAACCCTAGAGCCTAAATGGAAAGGACTCTTTCAAATTATTCTTGTTACCCCCACTGCTCTTAAGGTTGACGGGGTAGCAGCCTGGATCCACCACTCCCACGTAAGACCAGCTGGTGAGGACAAGCAGAAGCAATAGCAGGACAAGTGGAGGGCGACAGCAGACCTCACAAATCCAGTAAAGACCAGGCTGACCCGTGTGGCGTCTGCAGAGTAAACGAGACTATTGACTCAGATGCTGGTAGAACTGCTGATTGCCTTGCTAGGACTCGGACTGGGACTAGTTACCCCAAAGATTGGGACTAAGCTGCAAAGATGGAGTTTGGTATTGTTCTATGTTTCATATGCAAGTGCATTATGGATATCCTGCTCTTGGACCAAAGTTTTGCAGTTGTAATTAATAATGAGAACCCACATCTGCCATATAAAATTACATGGGAAATAATGAACTTAGAAACCCATGAGGTATACAATAGCACCTCAAGGGCAGCCACTAAACACCTGGTGGCCAGGTTTATATTTTGACTTGGAAAAAGTTAGTCCCCTAGAAAAGCCGGCACAGACAGTAGCGATATCCTCGGGAGGCCCCGCTGCTGCCCCAATCCCCAGTTCTTGGGTAACTGGACCGTGGAGGGAAGATGTGGAACGGACCTCCATAAGCCGGAATGGGTTTTACGCCTGTCCAGAATTCTGGCATCCTCAAGAAAACCATCAGTGTGGGGGTATTGGAGGTTATTATTGTGGCAAATGGTGGTGTGTGACCACAAATCACGGGGAGTGGAAATGGCAGGTACAACCTCTTTTTATTGAAATGTCTTATGTCCGGCCATGCTCAGGAACCATGTATGCCTCTAACTGTAACCTGATACATATGAGGTTCACAGATGAAGGAAAAAGCAGAACAGACCAATCCCGCAACCAACAGTCTCCTCTCCACAATTCGCCGGGGCAGAAACTGAAAGTCAGGTCACCCCTAGAGGTCAGAACACCCCTGAAGCAGAAGGAACAGAGGACTCCCTATAGAACATGCTGACAGCAGCATATGAGACTTTAAACCACACTGACCCAGCCCTCACCGAGGCATGCTGGTTATGTTATGACATCAGACCTCCTTTCTATGAAGCAGTGGGAGTAGCTACCCCCTTTAGCCAGTCAGGAGAAGAAATTCCCAAGTCTTGTAAATGGGACCACAAGGGACCGGGACTGACTCTTCCGACAGTCACTGGAAATGGAACCTGCATAGGAAAGGTGTCCACTAGCCACAGGCAGTTTTGTGCCAAGGTTCACCCTACCATAGACCGGAACAGTGGAATAAAATGGCTGGTCCCCGCACTCAGCGGGTGGTGGGTCTGTTCAAAGACAGGCCGAACCCCTGCCTAAGCCTATCAGTCTTCAATGAGTCTGGAGAATACTGCATTATGGGACTAGTGTTCCCTAAGGTCATCTATCATCAAGAAGACACTGTCTATGCTGCTTGGACCAGAGAAGGAAAGGACTCCAACTTAATTATTAAAAAAAGGGAGCCTTTCATAGCAATAACCTTGGCTACTCTTTTTGGCCTGGGGGCAATAGGAGCAGGGACAGGCATCTCATCCTTGGCAGTGCAGCATAGGGGGTTCAATAGCTTAAGGGCCGCCATAGACGAAGACATAGCCAGAACGGAGGAGTCCATCTCCCATTTAGAAAAATCCCTAACTTCGCTGTCCGAAGTAGTGCTGCAGAACCGGAGGGGGCTGGACTTAGTGTTCCTCCAGCAGGGGGGCTATGTGCGGCCCTAGGAGAGGAGTGCTGCTTCTATGCAGACCACACTGGGGTAGTCAGAGAGTCCATGGCAAAGGTCAGGGAGGGACTTACATGGTGAAAACGAGAGCATGAACAACAACAAGGATGGTTTGAGTTGTGGTTCAACAGTTCCCCGTGGTAACTACCCTGCTATCTACCTTGTTGGGACCTATAATAGTGCTCATGCTCATCTCACCTTTGGGCCATGTATTCTGAACAGGTTAGTCACTTTCATAAGGAACGAATAAATACTGTGCAGTTAATGGCACTGCAGCAGCAATACCAAAGGGTGAGTCTTAAAGAAAACAGCTTAGGAATAGAAGAGATACAAGACCCTGGATACGAGCAAGAATGCTCGTAAGAACCAAAAGAAAGGGGGGGAATGTAAGCTACTGGGCTATTAGGATAATGGACACCTTCCAGCTTCTGTTTACTATTTGTTTGCTAACCGCAAGGCATTATGAGTACATTATGGGATGCAGAGGAGAAAGACAAAGAACGAGGAAACCGGAGTCTCTCAGCTAGGACCTGGAACAGGTTGGAGCCTATCAGGTAAGCCTATCAAGTAAGAATCACTGTGGGGCAGATGCATGATCAGCATGTAAAGAGCTTAGGTATAAAAGGCTCACTAGCACACAAGGGAGGTCCCTGCCCGAAGAAGAGGCCACTGCGCTGGCACTCTGGGGGCTTGGAACCTAGCTCGAGCTAGACAATAAAACTCCTTTTGATAATTACAGCTTCGGTGACTCTGTCTCTCTGTCCCACGGCCCTGTGAATCTCAACTATGACACCCTCAGTCAGCTGTAAGGTCCCAAAAGGGAAGGTCCCATTCCCTGGAGGTGCCTCTGGCTGGTGGCTATATTGTCCCTCTAGGCAGCCACGGATAGGGTCGGGGGGAGGGGAGAAGGAGGCAATATGGCGCCTGCCGCGCGGCTCGGGTCTGTGTACAGGGAGGTGCCCTGGGGCAGTTGGGAGCCTGGTGCTGTGTCCACTACAGGCTTACTGCTCACTGGTGGTGGCCATCTCTGGGCTGGTGTTCCCAGATCTCTCCACCCACTGTGGAGCCCACCAGCAGACCAAGATGCAAGGGAGGGGAGAGTTAACTACGTCACCTACCCTTGCCGCTGGTCTCCAGGCTGCTCCAGAGGTCTCAGCTTCCAGTTCTCCTCCGCAACCTCCTTCCGTGGAGTCTCCTGTGGTCTCAGGTACCCCTCTTTTCAACCCTCGTCCACTGTATGCTCGTCTTCTTGTTTCTTTCTTCTAATTTCTACTAGAATCTGTCTTTTCTGCAGAGACACTCTGTCTGGCGGTGTTTCTCATCTTCCATCTTGATCTTCTCTCCAGTTAATGTGGTAAATGCTCAAAAACCCCATATGTGACCAGCATTGTCTTGTCATCAGGCCATAAAGACAAATCATAAACTGCTGTCACAGAATGGTAAGGAAAAACAGTTTGTAAGGCTTCTGGCTTAGTAATTCATCCATCCTTGTAGGATCCAGGGCAGCAACTTATCACCCTAACTTCCTTGTTCAGAGTGGTTAGGGCTGGTGTCAGTCAAAATGGCTGCACTCGGGTTCTCTCAGCCTTACTTTTCTGCCTTATGCCCACATTAATATCATCTTTCCTTCCAATTATTGTTATTAAGATTCTTTTCATTGTATTATGAAAATTTAAAAACATATAAAAGTTGGCAGAGTCAACCCAAAAGTACCCACCACCCAGATTCAACACTATCAACTCATGGACAATTTTGTTTCTTTACCCATATCCATTTCAACCCACACCAAATTATTTTGGAGCAAATTCCAAACATCATATCATTTAAAATATAATTTTTTTGTATATGCTCATAAAGGATAAGAATTCTTCTTTCAAACATAGGCAAAAAAAGATAAGAGCAGTTCCTTAATATTATTAAAAATCTAGTTAATATTCTAATTTCCCCAATTTCTTTCTTATTTTATTAGTTGTTTGTACGTTTGCATTAGTATTCAGATAAGTCCATACACAGATTACAGTTGGTTAATAAGTCTTGATAGGCTCGCCTTCCATCTCTTTTTCTTCCTTGCAATTTTTGTCATTGTTGAGGAAACAGAACTATCTGTGCTGGAGATTTCTCCTATCTGGATTTTGCTGATTGTGTCATCATATCATGTCATGGAACATGTTCCTCTTACCCCTTTTTAATCATAAATTGATAGTTAGATCATTAGTGACATTAGACTCAGTCACATTCAGGTTCAATTTGAGGAGAGAAACTACTGCATTGACATGGACATAGCTGATGTGTTTCAACACATAAACTATTGTGCTTACCTAATTCCTAAATTGTGCCATCTTTGTTCCATGGTGGCCTTTTCAGGTTGGCTCCTGAATCTTTGTGTCATGACCCTAGTAGTGTTGGGTGGCTTCTTTGTTTGGGGCATGATAAGGTGTTCGAGGGTTATTCAATTCCGACCCTAGACCTGGGCTCTGCCTTTCTCCAAGAAGCTGTAGTTTCATTAGCACAAATCTGCATCCTAGGATACTACTCATTGCAACTGAGTTTGTCATTTTTTCCCTAAATCTTTTAAATGGAAAAATCTAGAAAGTATATATTTTAAGATATGAATTTCTACTAAAATTTTTAATTCAAAATCAGCTGTTTATATAATCTCTTCCACCTTACATCTTCTCACACTCTGCAAATCTCACTTTTTAATGTCCAAAAAGCTAACTAACTCATTTGCTCCATCATGCCCTATAAAAAGACAGTCTCAAGATAACAAACCAGCACTATTATCAAAAATTTATGATCTTTTGTTGGGTACAATTCTTTTAGTTCTTAGGGTATATCACAATACAGACATGTAGTCAGATTACCATGTTGTTAAAGTTACTTTGAATAGTTACTCTCTGGGTGGTTACTGTCAACTGGATATTCAGTTAAGTTCATTTGTTTCACTTTATCTCTGACTTTCAGGGGTTCAGTGTTAAAACTTAATTCTCTTTTTTAATCATTCAAAAGATTTACCTTGTTTTAGAATCAAATCTATAGAATAGGGCATATTCAGAGAAATCTAGTTTCTATCCCTGTTTCTTCCACTTTATTTCTTCCTTCCCACTATGGATAACTTTAACATTTCAATTTATGATTTATTCCTATATTTTTAATGTAAGAATATATTTGTGTGAATATGTATGTATTTATCCCCCTCTTTCTTAGATAGATGTGAATATATTATACACAAATTTCTCCATCCTGCTTTTTCACATAAAAAATATATTTTAGAGATTAATCCAAAGTAGTATATAGAGCTATTCTTCATTCTATTTAAAATATTACCAGTACTTCATCATGTGACTAGGCTACGGTTTATTCAGTAAGACCCTGATTAGGTCAAAAGATAAATGCTTATACAATTTTGCTAAATAGTGCCAAATTCTCCTCCATAAGTACTGTACAATTTTGAAATCCTACAAGTAAAAATTGAGATTGCCTGTTTCAACACAATCTATCAACGGATTATTTTAATCTTTTGGAGTTCTGCAATCTGATAAGTGAGAAAATATATCCCATAGCAGTTTTAAGTTGCTTCTTTTTTTTATAATAAGCATGCCTTCCAAATGGCTGAGAGCCATTGATATCTTGTTTTCCCTGAACTGAGTGTTCATACTTTTAGCCCATTGTTTCCATGACAGTTGTTGGCCTTTTTTCTCTATTTCTAGAAGCTGTTATATTTTAGAAATATTCATATTTTGTGAATATGTTGCAAATTTTTTTTCAGGCATGTTATTTTTTCCTTTTCCTTTGCTTATGTTTGTACTATTGTGTTGGTTTGTTTTGACAAGGGGATGACTGTCACATAGTGATTTTTAATGTAATCAAACTTATCTATCAATCTTTTCTTTTATGGCTTCTGAATTTCAAGTCATACTGAATTAAATTTTCTTTACTTCTGTTATAGAGAAATTCACCTTTATTTTTGTCTAGTACTTGCTTGATACCATACTTTTTACATTTAAATCTCTGATGTATTTGCAATTTATCCAGAGTTAAATATGAGGAATAGGTTTTTGTACAGTATAGCCTTTTGGTAATCTCAGTGCCATGTATTAAAAGTCCATCTTTTGCCCATTTATTTAAGATGCTGTCTTTGCTGTACTGTTAGGCATCGTTATGCACTTGAATCTGTGACTATATTTTCTATTTTGTTCTATTGCTCGGTCTGTATAAACCAGTGCCAAACTTTAATTGCGGAAACTTTATATTATCTTTCAATATTTAATAGGGAATAGCCCACACCATTGATCTTTTACAGGGTTTTCCAGCTAGTCTTGCTTATTTTCCTACAAATTAAAGCCAAGGAAAAGGCTTTTCTTGACCTTTCTAAAAAAAATTTTATGCAAATTATATTGAATATATAATCATTTTTAGGAATAAATAATATCCTCATGATTCATAAACATTATACATCTTTCCATTTATTCAATTCTAATTTTGTGTCTTTCAGATGTGTTTTATAATTTTCCTCATCAAGAATTTTGAAATTACTTAAGTTAATGCCATGGTCCTTTTTTTCTATTTGACTGTCATAAACACGGTCTTCTATTCCATTATATTTTCTAACTGGCTTGTGTTTGAATATATGAACATATGAAGCTTTTTGTCGCTGGCTACTTTATAAAATGTTCTTGCTAAATTACCCTATTATTTAAATACAGTATTATTGTTACACTTTGGGGTTTTCCAAATATATAATCATATCATCTGCAAATAGGAACAGTTTTACCTTCTACTTTCCAATTCTTATGCTTCTAATTTCTCTATTTTTATCTAAGTGCATTGAGTAATTCTTGCAACGTAATGTAAAATAAAAGAAGTAGTAAGCATCCTTGTCATTTTCCTGAGTTTATCAAGAAAGCCTCCAGGAGCGAGGGAGCCTGAGATTGTACGACTGCACGAGCGAAGCAATGCCTAAGTCAAAGGAACTTGTTTCTTCAAGCTCTTCTGGTAGTGATTCTGACAGCGAAGTTGACAAAAAGTTAAAGAGGAAAAAGCAAGTTGCTCCAGAAAAACCTGTGAAGAAGCAAAAGACTGGTGAAACTTCAAGAGCTCTGTCATCTTCCAAACAGAGCAGCAGCAGCAGAGATGATAACATGTTTCAGATTGGGAAAATGAGGTATGTTAGTGTTCGGGACTTTAAAGGGAAAGTTCTAATTGATATTAGAGAATATTGGATGGATCCAGAAGGTGAAATGAAACCAGGAAGAAAAGGTATTTCTTTAAATCCGGAGCAATGGAGCCAGCTGAAGGAACAGATTTCCGACATTGATGATGCAGTAAGAAAACTGTAAAATTCGAGCCATATAAAACCTGTACTGTTCTAGTTGTTTTAATCTGTCTTTTTACATTGGCTTTTGTTTTCTAAATGTTGTTTTCCAAGCTATTGTGATGTTTGGATTGCAGAACAATTTTGTAAGATGAATACTTTTTTTTAATGTGCATTATTAAAAATGTTCTGAGTGAAGCTAATTGTCATGTTTATCAAGGAGGATTGCTTTGTGCCCACCACCTAGTGTAAAATAAAATGGAATAATACAAAAAAAAAAAAAAAAAAAAAAAGCCTCCAGGATTTCTCCATTAAATAAGATGAAGCCTTTGGGGTTGAAATACATACATGCACATACACACACACCATGCACATTACAAGTTAAGGAAGTATCCATTAATTTCTACTTCAGATGGGCTTTTTCACATGAATGTGTATTGAATTTTATCAAATGCATTTTCTATAGCTATGGATAAAATCATATTATTTTTCTCTGGAGCTCTAATAATATTAATATGTTGGATTTTATTGAGTGGATTCCTCGAATTGATGCATCCTTGCATTTCTAGCATAACCTTAAGAAACCATGGTGTCTTATTTTAATGTACTGTTTGGGTTTGTACTTGCTGATATCTTATTTAAGATTTTTACATCAATACTAATAAATAAATTTGTCTGTGCTTTCCTTTATGTTGCAATCTTTGTCAACCTGAGGGACAATGCTATACTCCCTTTATGGAAAGAATTTAGAATTTTCCCATGTTTTTTTATACTCTGGTTTTAATAGAATTGAAATTTTCTTATCCTTAACATTTGATAGATACACCCTGAGAGCCTATGTGCTACTGTTGGAGTGGAAGCTTTTTTAACTAATTTCTTTTATTATTCTATTATAATTAGTCTGTTTAGACTGTCTGTCTCTACCAATAATCGATTCTGATAACTTGTACTTTTCTTTAAAATAATGATTAATTTCCTTTATGTTTCCATGATATTTTGTTTTGGCCAATGACAACTTCCTCAACTGTGGACACAGTGGAGGTTGAGAAGCACCTGTGAGCTTGTTCCTGCTTGCTGCCACTGAAGTGTTGCAGCCCCCGAGAGGAGCGCGGATTTGCTGCTGCTTAGAGGATGAAAGGCCACACGGAGAAAAGGAGCAACGACACCCCAGCCAGCAAGCCTGCCGCTGTCAAACAGTGATGTGGAGGCCAACCGTAGGTCATCCAGGCTCCAGCTGACCACAGAGAGCCTAACACAGATAAGCCCAAGCCATCCCGAACCAGAAAGAGCACTCAACCCAGCCAAATCGACAGGAAAAAGCTTATTAATTGTTAAGCCCTGCAAATTTTGGGATGTTTGTTCTGCAGCATAAAAGTCTTTGTTTTCTGTTGCAGACAAGAGAGTATGACAGACTGGGCAACTGAATAAAGAAAGGAGGGTTGCTTTGGCTTACCGTTCGCGAGACTCGAGAAGTCCAAGATCAGGTGGATGCCTCTGGTTGGCTTCTGGTGAGGGTGTCAATGCTGCATCACAACGTGGCAAAGGACATCACAGCAAGTGAAGGGGCAGCACTGAGAGCCGGCATGGCTTTTAATAGACAGAACTGCTCTCATGAATCACTAACCCACTCCTGTGGATAACTCATATAGTGCGCTAGATCCCACGAATGGACGGAATCTATTCACGAGAGTAGGACCTTCATGACCCAATCGCATCCGAAAGTCCTGGTGTTTAATATTGTTACACTGGCCATTAAGTTTCAATATTACACTGGGCATGTAAGTTTCAATAGTTACACTGGCATTAAGTTTCAATATGAGTTTCAGAGGGGACAGACACTCAAACCGGTAGCAATAAACTAACTGACACAGAAAAAAGAAATCACCGAATTAGCAAATTCTATCTCTACTACTTAAACAGAGAAGTATTGGAACAAGGGCTGTCCCAGAAGCCCTCCCCCAATGTGCCTCTGCTGCCAAACCCAGCCTGGCCAGCACTTTTCAATCCCCTTATACTCTGTCCCATCCCCCATCCCCCACCATAGAAGCAGAATTCACCTGGAACCAGATTCTACTTGTCATGGTCCAAACCTGTTTGGCCACCAGCATGAGTCTTCAGTGCCATACAACATTCAAGTCCTTGAGTTGTTCTGAGCTGAATTGTCCTCCCAAAATTGATATTGTTGAAGTCCTATGCTTTCGTACCTCAGAAGCGTGACTATGTCTGAGACCATATATGTAAGAGATAATAAGATAAGATGAGATCATTACAGTGGGTCATTAATTCAATACGGACTTATAGAAAGAGGAGATTAGACACATACGCACACAACACACACACACAAAGGAAAACCATCGGACCATCTGCAAGCAAGAGGAGGCTTCAGAAGGAGCCAACACCTTGATTTTGATTCACCCTCCAGAATTGTGAGAAAATAAATTCTGTTGCCATCCTAGTCTCTGGCACTTTGTTATGCACCGCTGGGCTGACCAATGCAGAAGTCCGAGAGAGAAAAGGTAAATGTGTTGAGATTAAGGTCAACCTTAGAAATGTAAATTCCACTCCTACAAGGCATTTATGCATGCTTGTCTTTGTCACACATGTAAATAAAAAGCATTATGGAGAAAAGCAATCTACATAAAAATCATTTTCAGTATGTAAATAATCACTAGCATACACTGTTTTGGAAACTGAGTGAAAAAAAGCAATGAGTAATAAGAATAGTAATAGAGAAATATAAAATAGAAACTGGGTTACTGAGCAAATATTATTAGTCAAACACTGCACTGTAAGCCTTTGCGAACATTGTTTTTTTTAATCCTCATAATCTAATAGTTATTCCATTACCCAGTTTTACGATGGAAGAAATTGATGCTCACAGAACAAATTTGCTAATCTAGAGTAGTCTCAGTAAGCAGCAAAATGATCTAACTTAGGGCCTAAGTCTTATGTCATTCTCATTTCCCACAGTATATCCTCCAATATAAATGTTTTTTAAAAATTATTGTTCTTCATCAATTTTATCAGGAAGAATAAATGCAAACATGATTTCATTTAACACGAATGACAAGTTAGAAATAATTTTAAAGCTTGCCCTGGGAGGAAGGTAGACCTATAATCAGCATGAGATAAATCATCTTTATCTTTCACAGAATAACTATAATCAAAGCTGCTCTCATAGCTCATGAATGCTGACCTGCTTTTTAATGCTGTGTATTTCAAACTTGAGCTCAGGCACAAATAGAAGACAAACGGAAACTGAATACATCTGCATTCGCCAGCAGGAATGCTCCAGATACCTAGTGGTAACAGTTTTATGCTCCAAGAGTGCAATCTGTTTTTGCCACATTAAAGTAGTGTATAAAAATGTTTAATTTAACAATATTACTCAGCTTTAAGTGGATGTAAGAACTTTGAATCTCTGTAGAACCTAATGTAGGAAATAGTAACAAATATATTCTAGTTGTAAGATACTTAAGTATGTAAATACACTATTCATATTAGCATATTTGAAGGAGATTGTATTTTCTTCCTTTGAACTATTTGCATGTTTCCATTATTTAATTTAAGAGAACTTATTCAATTTAAAAAGCTAAGTCATTTCAGATTAGCTTAATTAAGCTGTATCTTCCCTTTACCTGTTATTTTATACTTTATCTGAATTTTCCTAATGTAAAAGAGTTGTGCCTTATTTTGCTATTATTAGGAATTATGACTGAATTCTTCAGAGAAAATCTTTATTAAAATACCTCTTCATTTACTGTTTATCATGTATAGGAAAGCATTCATCTCTAGGGAAAGTAGCACGAAGAAAGGCCACTATAACTTAGCAGATGTGCTCCAGAAGACAGAATTAAATACTAGAGTGAAGAATGTTGGTATGTTTCATCTTCATCAGTCAAAATTTTATCTTTGAACATGGATGAATTAATATTTTATAGGTGAGTTCTGGTCTGAAAAAAATGCCCCCTTCCTCACTATTGCCTAATATTTTAGTGTTATATTATTTATTATTTGTTATCTGTTGTCCAGATAAATGTTAGACTTTAGAAGCTCAAATCAAGAGCTGATTAAATCATAGTAGTTTTTACAAATTATAGAAAAATATTTGAAATTGAGCAAAGAATCTTCTGTTTTCTTCCAAATGAAACTTATTAATAAGGAATTTCTAGACAATGGCTGCTTGGGATAATGCTGTCAGTATTTTTCCAGAGGGGCCATCTTTACAGCTGTTCCTGAGGCAAGTTCTAGTCTTCTCCCCATAGTACAGAAGAGAAAATTGAAACAGTTTTCTGCTCAAATTTTCTGATTCATGAGTGGAGAGATGTACTAGTTCTGTGCTGCTGCATAACAGATTACACTAGAATTTAGTTTAATGCAACCAAAGTTCATTATTTCACAATTTCTGTGGGCTGGGAATTCCAGAGTGCTATAGCAAGTGGATCTGGCTGAGATTCTCATGAGGTTTCAGTCGAGCCATCAGGCAGGGAGGACTCCAGTCACCTGCGATCTTGACTGAGGCAGGAAGACCTACTTCCAATGTGGTGCACTCGCACTATCGGCAGAGGCCTCAGTTTCTCTCTGCATGTTGTCAGAAGGACCAAACCCTTGACGCAGAGCCATCTCCACAGGGCTATGTGCCCCCACAGTGTGGCAGCCAGCCTGCCCCAGAATGGCTGGCCCGAGAGAGTGAACAGGGGAAAGCCCTAGCAAGCTCGCTTTCTTTGGCCTCGTCTTTGAAGGGACACACCTTCGCTTCGGCCACATTCTGTTCATTAGAGCCCAGTCTCCAGGTACAGCTCGTGCTCATGGAGCAGGGAATTGGGGTCTACCTTTTGAAGGGAGGAGCATTAAAGAATTGTGGATATATTTAAAACCACCATCAAGAAAATCTGCCGTAAGAATGTGCTATTAGTTTTTGGTGGGCATAAATAGTTCCAGTAAAGTGCTTAAATCGTAAGTAAACAGCTCAATGAATAGACACATACATTAACATATGTATGTATGTGTATACACACACATATATAGTTATACGCATATACACACATGTATACACACATGTATGTGTGTGCATATGTGTGTACACAAATATATGCATATATAGTACATATGTGTGTATGTGTGCACACACATGTGTATATATGCAATACATCTCAAAATGTGGGACTTGCCCTGCACAGATCTCAAAAATAACTATTTAACTGTTTAATAACCATTAATATGATTTAACTACTGTTATCTGACTTTATCCATTTTACTGTTAATGGACATTTGTCTCACTTCCATGGTGGGTCTGTTACAAATACAGCTCTACAAATGTTCTTTTTCATGTCCTCTGGCGGACAAGTGCTCTTGTTTCTATTTAGTAATTAACTAAGATCAGAATTGCTGGGTCATAGGATAGGTTTATGCTCAGCTTTAGTAGAAAATGAAATTTTTCCAAAATAGCTGTGCCAGTTTACACTCCCAGCAGCACTGAATGGAAATTCCAATAGTTCCACATCCTATTAACACCTGGCATTGTCCATTTTTGAGGTTTTAATTTCTCTGGTGGGTTGGCATGTGTTTAATTTGCATTTCCCTGATTATAGCTAATGTTAAGTACCTTTTCATATGCATAGACGTCATTTGGCTATGTTCTTTTATAAAGTGTCTGTTCATGTCGTTTGGCCATTTTTGTATTGGAATACCTGCCTCAATTTAATTTATAAGCATTTTTTTGCATGTGAAGAATGAGGATGAAGTGCAGACATTTTCACCAATTTCCTTACCTTTTACTCTCTTTCTACAGTGTCTTTGATGAAAATTAAATTCTTAATTTCAATAAGTTCTATTTTTCAGTTTTCAGTCTGTATTCTTAAAACCTATGTGACAGATAAAAAATTAAAGTTTAGAAGAAAGAGAAAAATAAGTCATCCAAAATATAAGTTCATACTCAGTTCTTCAAAGGCAGGAGTCTAAGGGAAAGAGCCAATTCTTTTTTAATTCAAACATCAATGTCCAAGGGAAGATGAAGTGAACACAGGGGTAAATCCACAAATAGCTGAGAAAATCCAGGTAAAGGTATGGCTTTAGGAATTTGGTTTGCTCCTGTAGGAAATGGGGTAGTAGATGCCACAGGCAGTAGCTTAACTACATTGAGAACTAAGAAAATAGAGATTGCAATGGTCTTGTTTACCTATTTATCTTGAACTCCTAGTAATACCTGGTAAAGATAAAATTGTTAAAATTATTTGTTTAATGAAAAAATAGAAATAAGTCCCAAATCAAAATGTAATGCACCCTCCCAGCAAAATAGTATCTAATAGAAGCAGTGATGGTGGCTATTCTCAGCTTTATTCCTGATTTTAAAATCTCATTACTGATCCATCAGTGGATGAATGAATAAATAAAATGTGGTTCATATACACAATGAAATATCATACAACCTTAAAGAGAAGACAATTCTGTCATTTGTGATAACATGGATGAACCTAGAGGACATTATGCTAAATGAAATAAGCCAGGCACAGAAAGATAAATACTGCATTATATGTGGAATCAAAAAAGTTGAACTCATAGAAGTAGAGATAGAAGTGGTAAGCAGAGGCTGGGGGGGAGGGTGGGGAGGGCTGGCAGGGAGATGTTGGTCAAAGAATAAAACATTTCAGTTAGGAGGAATAATTTTTAGTGATCTATTGCACACCATGGTAACTATTATTATAGTTAATAATAACATATCATGTATTTCAAAATTGCTGAAAGAATAGATTTTTAAATGTTTTAGCACAAAAAAATAAGTAGGTGAGGTGATAAGTATGTTATTAGCTTGATTTAATCATTCTGTAACGTATACATATATCAAAATATCACATTATACCTCATAAATGTACATAACTATTATTCATCAATTAAAATACAATAAAATTTTTAAAATGGCATTATTAAGTATGATATTGCTGTAGGTTTCAGCAGACATCCTTCATCGGGTTTGTAAGTTCTCTTCCATTCCTAATTTGCTATAAGTTTGTATATTGACTGATTGCTGAATGAGACTAATGATTTCTCTGAATGTGGTAATATGATTATGTAACTTTTCTCCCTTAATCTCTTAATGTGGTAAATTATTAAATTATATTCGTGTTTTAGTCAGATTTGATAACATATTTACCTAGGAATATGTACATTTTGCCTGATTTTATATTTGCTACCACAAAAAGCTGGCCATGCTATTCTTACTTTTGTAATTTTTATAGCATCTGTAGTAATATATAGCATTTGATATATAGATATCTATAACATCTGAATTTGTGACATTTTTATTCCTAGTGATGATAAATTAGATACACACACCCACACACACACAGAGTCATACATCTCTTATCGTGGGGATACATTCTCAGAAATTCATCATTAGACAATTTTGTGGCTGTTGTGCAAACATCACAGAGTATGCTTACAAAACCTTATTGGTGTAGCCTACTATACACCTAGGCTATATGACTATAGCGTATTGCTCCTAGGCTACAAAACTGTACAGCATGTTACTGAAATGAATACTGTGGGAATTTGTAACACACTGGTAAGTATTTGTGTATCAAAACATAGAAAAGGGACGGTAAAAAATACAGTATAAAAGATAAACAGTGGCACGCCTGCATAGGGCACATACCACGAATGGAGTTTGTAGGAGTGAGTGGAAGTTGCACTAGGTGAGACAGGAGTGAGTGGCGAGTGAATGTGAAGGCCTAGAACACTACTGTACACTACTGAAAACTTTATAAACACTGAACACAGTGTTTATTAAAAAAATATAAAAAAAATTCTGTCTTCAATAATAAATCAACCTTAGCTGACAAACTTTTTACATTATAAACTTTAAACATTTTCTTTAACTTTTCGATTCTTTTGTAATAGCATTTAGTTTAAAACACATATTGTACAGTTGCACAAAAATATTTTCTTTTTATATCCTTATTCTATCAACCTTTTCTGTTTTAATTTTTTTTGAACTTTTTAAACTTTTTTTGTTAAAAACTAAGTGACAAACACACCATTAGCTTAGGTCTACACCGGGTCAGGATAATCAATATCACTATCGTCTACCTCCACATCTTGTCCGCTGCAAGGTCGTCAGGAGCAATAACACACATGTAGCTATCATCTCCTATGATAACAATGCCTTATTTTGGAATTCCTCCCGAACGACCTGCCTACCGCGGTTTTCCAGTTAACTTTTCTTATATAAGTAGAAGAAGTACACTTTAAAATAACAATAAAAAGTATAGTATAGTAAATACAGAAACCAGTAATATAGTCATTTATTATCATTATCAAGTATTATGTACTGTGTATAATCATATGTTCTCTACTTTCATATGCCTGGCAGTGCAGTAGGTTTGTTTACACCAGCGTTACCATGGATAAGCGAGTAATATGCTGTACTATGATGTTATGATGGCTATGACATCACCAGGCTGTAGGAAATTTTCAGCTCCATTATAGCCTTATGTGGTCTGTCATTGACAGAAACATTGTAATACAGTACATCACTGTAAAAATATATAACATAGCTAAAATTAGTCTCTAAGAAAAAAATTTAAAATTAACGGGATTTAACTTTGTAGATCTATCCTGTGTTCTTCATTAAGATACAGAATCTAAAGATTCCATAAAATCATCAACTCCATTGCCTAGAACATTGTTGTTCTAGGTATAGCAATAGTAGGCACCATTTGAAAAATATCTGGGGGGAGGGAAAATGGCAGAATAGGGCTGACCTCTTGGCTCGGGGCTCTCAGGGTGAGGGGTGAAGAGAACAGACGACCACACGCGGGCCATCTGCACCTGCTCTGGACCAGCTTCGCAGGACTGCAAAGAGTAAGAAATGGTTCTGCACAGTTTTATTGTAACGACTGCCTGAGCTTTTGGACATGTTTTTTTATCTTCATAATCTTGTTATCTTCGTTAGCGGTTTTGCGATGGAGAAATTGTGTCACAGACATTGGTACTTGAGGTTTCCCCGGTAAGAGCAAAGTGGGTTTAATTGGGCAAGTGTATGTGAATTTTTTCACAGATTTCTGCATATCAATGTTTTTAAATTATTGTTTCTTTCAGTCAATTTTTTATCAGGAGTATGGCAAATGATTTATTCCGATGCAAAGTAGATATTTTAGGCTGCCTGGGGGAATTAGACTATATCGATTGAGGTAACATCTTTATTGGTCAGAGTAACTATATCAAAGATAGCTTTCATGCTCATGATGCTGACTGTTAAGGTTGTATTCAAACTTGTGAGTCAGGCAACAAATGGAGACAACGGAACTGGAGTCTTTATGATTCGGCGAGATTCTCGATTCTAGTGGTACGTTTTAATGCTAGAGTGAATTGTTTTGCAATAAGTTAGTGTTAATGTTATTTAACATATTATCAGCTTTAGTGGTGTAAAATTTGCATCTTGTAGAACTAATGTAGGAAATGTCATATTTTAGTTGTAAGTCACTTAAGTATGATACACTATTCATTGCATTTGAAGGAGTTGTATTTTTTCTTTGGAACTATTGGTTTCTTTAATTAGAACTTATTTCATTTAAAAGCTAAGTCTTCGATTGCTATAAGCTTGTATCTTCCTTTACTGTTATTTCTTACTTTATCTTGATTCTCACTATGAACGGTTGTGGCCTTATTTTGTATATTAGGAATTATGACTTTTTTTGAATTCTTCGAAAAAAATTATTAAAACTCTATTTTGTTTATCACGTATAGAAGTTATGTTAGGGGGGAAAGTAGCAGAAGAAGCCACATAACTTAGCAGATTGCTCCAGAAGAGTAATTAATCTAGAGTAGATGTTGGTATGTTTATTTTCTCAGTAAAATTATTATCTGGTTGACATGGATTGAATTATATATTATAGGTGGAGTTCTGGGTCGAAAAATGGCCCGCTTTCATATTGCCTATTTTATTATTGTATTTATTATGTTCTGTGTTCCAGATAATGTTTGACTTTAGAAGTCAATTCAAGAGTGATTAATCTGTAGTTTACATTATAGAAAATTTTGAAAATGAGCAAAGAAATCTGTTTTATTCAAATGAACTTATTAATAATGAATTTAACATGGTGCTTGGGATATGTGTGTTTTTCGAGGGCCTTCTTTACAAGTGTTCTGAGGCAAGTTCTGTCTCGATCCAGTAGTACGAAGAGAATTGAAACGTTTTATGCCCATTTTTTGATTGAGGGAGAGATGTTCTGTTCTGTTGTGCTGATAAAGATTACTAGGAATTTAGTTTTGACAACAGGTTATTATTCATTTCTCGTGGTCTGGATTCCAGAGTGTATGCAAGGGTTGGTGAGATTTCATGGGAGGTTTCGTCGAGCCTTCAGGCAGGGGAGGACTCCAGTCACTTGCGATTTGACTGAGGCGGAGCCTATACATGTGGGTGCACTCGCACTATCGGCGACGCTCAGTTCTCTTCTGATGTTGTCAGTAGGAAAACCCTTGACGCCCAGGGCATTCCACAGGGGTATGGTGCCCCGAGCTGTTGGCGCCAAGCCTGCCCGAATGGCTGGCAGGAAGTGAACAGGGGAAGCTGCAAGGCTCGCTCTATGGCCTGTCTTTGAGGAACACTTCATTCGGCCGAATTCTTCTAGATGCGTTCGGTCGCTGGTGTCAATGGGCAGGGAATTGGGGTTACTTTGTGAAGGGAGACATTAAAGACTTGTGGATAATTAAAACCCATCAGAAATTGCGTGGAGAGAAACGTGCTAGTTAGTTTTTGGTGGGCAAATAGTTCCAGTAAAGTGCTTAAATGTAGTAAAAGCTCAATGAACAGACACTCTTAACATATTGTATGTTGTGTATACACGAATATCTGTTATATGCATAT